TCGAAATATAGTTGTAGATCAGGCATTGCCAGGCCTCCTCTTTCTTTCGCGTCCGTCAGGGCTTTGAATCTAACCCTCGGTTTCTTCCCGTCCCAAACAAATCTCAAGATTTCCTTATTCCATTTTCTAAAGCATGTATTATTCTTAATAATTGGTATTGTTTGAAATAAAAAGATCATCCTGGGTAATATGCTCATTTTAATAGCCGAGATTCTTCCTACCCAGGATAAATGAAGATGTTTCCAATTCTTGAGCTTTTTCTGGATGTTTCCCCATGTCTTTTCATAGTTATCTTTATACAAATTTGCATTTGATCCCGAGATGTTTATCCCTAGGTATTTAACCTTTTTAACTATCTCTAGACCTGTTTCTTCACTGATCTTACTTTTCTTGTCTGCGTTGACATTTTTAGTTAGTATTTTGGATTTATTTCTATTTATTTTGAGGCCAGCTAACTTCCCGAATTTTTCGATCTTCGCAAGCCATTTTGAAGTTAACTCAACCGGATTTTCTACGATGCACACAACATCATCCGCGAAGGCCTGGACCTTGTATTCTTCGGAGGCGATCTTTGTTCCTTTTAAGCTGTTGTCAGTCCTTATATCTTCTAAAAGGGTCTCCAATATCATTATAAACAGTAAAGGGGACAGAGGGCATCCTTGTCGGACTCCCTTCTGTATACTAATATCCTCCGTAAGTTGATCGTTCACTATTATTTTTGCAGTCTGTTTGGTATAGATGGATTGGATTGCATTTATTATTTGGTAACCGGCGTCTATCTCTTTTAGTATTGATATTAAGAAGTCCCAGCTCGCGTTATCGAACGCTTTCTCTGCGTCTACGAAGAGGAGGCCTACTTCCTTTTGTCTATTTTGTTCGTAATATTCAATTACATTGAGGATACATCTTATGTTGTCCTTCAGCTGCCTTTTGGGGAGAAATCCTCTTTGCTCCTCCTTAATTCTGGTTTTGAGTACTTCTTTGAGTCTGGTGGCAATAACTGTAGCGAAGATCTTATAATCGCAGTTCAATAATGAGATAGGGCGATAGTTTCGAACATTTTCAGGGTCTGAATTTTCTTTATGAAGAAGCGTTATATAAGCTTCTTTCCATGAATCCGGTATGTTACTTCCTTCTCTTATATTGTTCATGATTTCTTTTAGGAATGGAATCAACTCTTCTTTATGGGTTTTGTAGTATATGGCCGGCAGTCCATCAGGACCTGGAGCTTTATTACCAGGCATGTCCATAATCGCTTTGCTTATTTCCTCCTCTTTGAACGGGGCGTTCAATAGCTCTCTTTCCTTATCGCTAAGTCGAGATATTTTTTGTTCTGATATATATGCAATCATGTCTTCTTTCTTTATTGGATCTTTTTTGTAAAGCTTTTTATAGAATTCCCTAAATTGCCCGGCAATATCTCTTTCATTGGTATATTCTTTTCCTTCTTCTGTTATCTGTGTTATTATCCTTCGCTGTTTTTTCTTGGCCAGTTTCCTGGCGAGGAATTTCCCTGGTTTATTTGCTTCTGCGAAGTAGTGCGCTTTTACATATTTCAAATTGCGGGCCATTAATTCTAACTGTGCTGCATTCGCTTCTTTTCTTAACAATTCGACTTCCAGGAGGATCTTTTTATTTTTCGGGTGTTTCTTTAGTTGATTTTCTTTCTCTAATAGTTTAGTTTCGATTTTTGCTTTTTCTTCTCTCCTTTTTTTGTTTTTGATGGCTCCCTGTTGGATATAATGGCCACGTATAACAGCCTTACTAGCCTCCCATACTATCTCCAACTTAGTACCTTTGTCAGTGTTTTCCTCAAAGTAGGTTTGGATAATTTTTTTGCTGAGCCCTATATCTTCTTTTTGCCTGATTAGGGCTTCATTCAGTTTCCACCTCCTATTTCTTGGACCGATTTTTATATTTATTTTTAACGGACAGTGATCTGTAGTAGACCTTGTGAGTATTTTAACTTTTCTGACTTTAGTTGATAACAGATTGGTTACCCAACACATATCTATTCGGGTCCAGGTGTGGTGTCTCGCTGAATAAAAAGTGTAGTCCTTTGCCGTTGGATTTTTAAGACGCCAGATGTCTTGCAGTCCTAGTTCTTTTTTCATTTGAAGAAAATTTAGCGGGAGTGTCCCGCCCTTTGCTTTCTTCCCGGATTTATCCATCCTGCTGTCTAGCACTCCATTAAAATCACCCAGCATCACCAAATTGTCGCACATGTGCTCAACCAACTTCCCTCTCAGCTGTTTAACAAAAGCAGTTTTTGCTCCGTTGGGGGTGTAGATATTGCTTATAAGTATATTCATTTATCTATCTGGATTTTTACTCCTATCATCCTCCCCTCGCTATCCTTAAAGGCTAATTCGGGATTTAGGTTCTCTTTTATGTATAATGCTACTCCTCTCTTCTTTTCAAGAGAGGCGGAGTAAAATAGTTTCCCTAGGTGTGTTGTGGTTCAGCAACAGCATGATGGGCATGATGGGACTGAGAGTGCAAGTGGGCATGATGAGAATGGGTTCCTAATAGGTCAGATCACAGGTTATCAGTCTAACAACTGAAAACCAAATTGCCTTGCATAATTACATCTGGTTGTGTGCCACTTGAGAAGATTCTACAGAGAATGGTTTATGGCTGTTCTGTGAAAGATCACGCTTTTCCAAAAGATTACGATCTCCAAATGGTTATGAATTTGCCATTTTCCAAAACAATCTATTTTCTATGGCAGTGCATATGGAGTCTCCATCTCCACTGCCATATAAAATCCAAATTATTTCAACTGGATTGTATGGGAGTGTAGAGGGGCCTCTAATTCAACATAGCTTAAGCGGCTGAGGGGCAAAAGGAAGGGACCTGAGGCTCTTAGGAATTGTGGGAGTTGAAGTCCAAAACACCCGGAGGGCCGAAGTTTGCCCATGCAAACTTTGTTATGGCTCAATGCTATGGGATCCTGGGAGTTGTAGTTTGAGCAGGCCCAGCATCCTTTGGCAAAAAGGTTGCAATACCTTGTCAAATTACAACTTAGGGATAAAAATAAATGAAACAGAGTGGCAACAATTATGGAGACAAAGACATCTAAAAAACTTATCAATATGGGTTAAAGAAAATTATTACAAGTTAATATGGAAATGGTACCTAACACCAGTAAGAATGGCACATATAAATAAAAACTATTCAAAAAATTGTTGGAGAGGATGTCAAGAACCAGGAACATATATATATGTGGTGGCAATGTAAATATGTAAATAATTTTTGGGGGAAAGTATTTAGAGAAATAGAAGATATAATGAATATTAAAATAGAAAGAGTCCTAGTATAGCTTTATTATCATTATATAATAATAAACAATTGAAAAAGAGGATAAAGATGTGATAACAAATTTATTAACCATGACTCAAAACAGTTTGCATTGGACTTCTGAACGAATACAGAAGACCTAGGCTGCATGCATGCTTATCTAAATGAAAGTGGTTTTTTTTTTGGTCTTGTCAGGAGCGACCTGGTGTGAGAGAATTGGCCGTCTGTAAGGACGTTGCCCAGGGGATGCCCGGATGATTTTGATGTTTTTATCATCCTTGTGGCAGGCTTCTCTCATGTCCCCGCATGAGGATCTGGATCTGATAGAGGGAGCTCATCCACCTCTCCCCGGATTCGAACCTGCGACCTGTCGGTCTTCAGTCCTGCCAGCACAGGGGTTTAACCCACTGCGCCACCGGGAGCTCCAAATTGGCAATAAATGATAAGCTGACATGTATATTAAAAGTTAAAAGAGGTATATGGAAACAAAGTGATTTTGATGATGTATGGAGAAAATTTATTGAAAAAGGATTAAAAAATAAAGAAGGAAAGTTACCTCCACAAGAAGAATTGAAATTTTGGACAGATGATATGTAAAAGCTGTGGCTTGGGAGAGGGGAGCACAGCAGTGAGAGATTCAGAAGTGATGTAAGAGAAAGCTCGGAAGCTCCAACTAGTCCAACGCTCGGCAGCCATGATTTTAACAGGAGCGGAGCGCAGGGAGCACACAACCCCCCTGTTGCGCCAACTCCACTGGCTACCGATCTGCTACCGGGCTGAATTCAAAGTGCTGGCGTTGGCCTTTAAAGCCCTAAACGGTTCCGGCCCAAGCTACCTATCCGACCGCATCTCTGCCTATGAACCCCCCAGGACTTTGAGATCTTCCGGGGAGACCCTGCTCTCGATCCCGCCTGCTTCTCAAGCTCGGCTGGCGGGGACGAGAGATAGGGCCTTCTCGGTGGTGGCTCCTCGGCTGTGGAACGCCCTTCCTACGGACATTAGACTAGCACCATCTCTAATGGTATTCCGCAAAAAGTGAAGACCTGGCTGTTTGAGCAGGCGTTCGAATAATTAGCGCAATGATTGGTTAATGAACACTGGAATGGAACAATGGATGACGAATCTGGAACATGTTTTTGATGACGAGACGACAGTGAATGGGTATTGTAGTAACTGTTTATTAATTGTGTAATGTTTTAGGTTGTTAACTGTTTCTATACTGTAGCACTGAATTTTTGCTGTTCGTATTTGTTGTGAACCGCTGTGAGTCGCCTTCGGGCTGAGAACAGCGGTATATAAGGAAGGTAAATAAATAAATAAATAAATATGTATAATGCAGAAAAATAACACTAGATGCCAAAAGTATGGCAGGTTGTATCAAATAATATGCATCTGTTGTAAAACAAACAATGTATAACAAATGTATTAAACCATGATAAAATAATCAAAATATATTTTTTTTAATTACAACTCACAATATTCTATAACATGGAGCCCTGGCAGTTAAAGTAGTGTCAAAATGCATTCATCCTACAGTATAAATGCCTCCCTGGCCTTAGCCTTGGGAGGTACACCTGTTAAGTGCAGAAGATGTATGCAGGGAAGGAGAGCTGATGAGAAATGAAGTGGTCCTGCTTCCTTTTATCCCTCTCGGCCAATCAGGGGGCAGAGCCCGGTTGCCAGGGCAACTCTTGTGAGCAGGGTGGGAGGTGGGAGGGGCCCCCAGAGAGGAGGTGGCTGTTTAAAGGGTGGCTTGGCCTCCTCCGGGTCCAGAATTCACTGGTGCGGCTTCGCATGGTGGAGCCTCTGGAGAGGGGCAGGAGGAGGAAGGGGAGCCGCTGCCGGAACTGAAGAAGAAGAAGATATTTACTCTTGGGAGACCCATGGAAAAAATCCGTTTAAATGCTTTTTAAGGTGGGCGGGGTGTCTGTGTGTGTACATCTGTATCATTAAATGGGTACTGATCTGGGTCTGGATACGTGAGGAGGCTTAACGGTAGGAATTTATGAAATGGGCAGAGAGCATTTCAGAAAATAAACTGTTATTTACATGCTTTTTATTGTTCTTTGAAATTCTGGTGCATTGTTACTATGACATTTTTATACTGTACTAGCTGCCCCCCTGCCACGCGTTGCTGTGGCTCAATCTGGTGATCTGGAATATAAAGTAATGAGAAAGTGTTGGTTTCTAATATATGTAATTTATGCTTGTGGGTAAACAGTATTTCTTGTTGTTTCTTTGTCAGTGTTGATGTGGAGATTGCTTGATTTGCTTACTCTGGAACATGCAACATATAATTGTCCTTCTTTAGGGGTCACTTTCCAGATCATTCAAACTTTGGCATACATCTATATAAATAAAAATGTAATAGAATCATAGAATCAAAGAGTTGGAAGAGACCTCATGGGCCATCCAGTCCAACCCCCTGCCAAGAAGCAGGAATATTGCATTCTATTCACCCCTTCTTTTTCTAAAGCCTGTCCTCGTCTGTCTGTCCGTCCGTCCGTCCCCGTCCGTCCATCCATCCATCCATCCATCCATCCATCTATCTATCTATTCTATCCATCTATATCTATGACTGATGGCTCTTTGTCAGGAGGGCTCTGATTACGTTTTGCCCTGGTGAAGGGAGTTGGACTGGATGGCCTTAAGTATTTTCTGATGGTCATGGGAGTTCTGTGTGGGAAGTTTGCCCCAATTCTGTTGTTGGTGGGGTTCAGAATGCTCTGATTGTTGGTGAACTATAAATCCCAGTAAATACAACTCGCAAATGTCAAGGTCTATTTCCCCCAAACTCCATCTGTGTTTATATTTGGGCATATTGAGTATTCGTGCCAAGTTTGGTCCAGATCCATCATTGAGTCCACAGTGCTCTCTAGATGTAGGTGAACTACAACTCCAAAACTCAAGGTCAATGCCCACCAAACCCTTCTAGTGTTTTCTGTTGGTCAGGAGAGTCCTGTGTGCCAAGTTTGGTTCAGTTCCATCGTTGGTGGAGTTCAGAATGCTCTTTGATTATAGGTGAACTATAAATCCCAGCAACTACAACTCCCAAATGACAAAATCATAATTTTTTGAGTGATGGTCACTCCTAGTGTTGTGACACATTTTGTTGCCAACTTTGGTGTGATTTCGTTCATTGGTTCTTTTGTTTTCAAGGTACTCGTTATGCACAGAGCATAGATGGATGGATGGATGGATGGATGGATGGATAGATGGATAGATGGATAGATGGATAGATGGATAGATATTGTACTTGTTTCTCTATAGATGGGTAGATGTAGATATAGATATAGTGTATTCCATCCTTGCCTCTGGACACAGATACATTGTAGAATGAATCCAGTTTGACACCACTTTAACTGTCGTGGCTTAATGCTATGGAACACCGTGGATGCAGCGTATCTGGATTTCAGTGAGGCCTTCAACAAGATCCCCCCATGACCTTCTGGCAACCAAACTAGTCAAATGTGGGCTGTGGTTTGGTGGATTGTCGAAGGCTTTAATGACCGGAATCACTGAGTTGTTGTAGGTTTTTCAGGCTGTATGGCCATGTTCTAGAAGTATTCTCTCCTGACGTTTCATCTGCATCTGTGGCAGGCATCCTCAGAGATTGTGAGGTCTCACAACCTTCGAGGATGTCTGCCATAGATGCAGACGAACGTCAGGAGAGAATACTTCTAGAACATGGCCATACATCCCGAAACACCTACAACAACCCTAAGGTTAGGTGGATCTGTAATTGGTTAAGTGAACGAACCCAAAGGGTGCTCACCAACGCTTCCTCTTCATCCTGGAAAGAAGTGACGAGTGGAGTCCATAAGCAGGGTTCTGTCCTGGGCCTGGTCCTGTTCAGGATCTCGATTTATGACTTAGATGAAGGGTTAGAAGGTATGACCATCAAGTTCAAAATGAAGTTCAACAGTGACAAATGCAAGATACTCCAATTATGCAGAAAAAATGAAATGCAAAGATACAGAATGGGGGACAATGCCTGGCTCGACAGTAGGATGTGTGAAAAAGATCTTGGAGTCCTCGTGGACATCAAGTTAAACATGAGCCAGCAATGTAATGCGGCGGCTAAAAAAGCCAATGGGATTTTGGCCTAGATAAATAGGAATATAGTGTCTAAATCCAGGGAAGTCATGCTACCCCTCTATTGCGCCTTGGTCAAGCATTGCAGGGAGAACATCGTCATTGAAGGGAGATGTTGACAAACTGGAATGTGTCCAGAGGAAGGCGACTAAAATGATCAAGGGTCTGGAGATCAAGCCCTATGAGGAGCAACTTAAAGAGCTGGGCATGTTTAGCCTGAAGAAGAGAAGGCTGAGAGGAGACATGATGGCCATGTATAAATATGTGAGGGGAAGTCATAGAGAGGAGGCAGCTGGCTTGTTTTCTGCTGCCCTGGAGACTAGGACGCAATGGAACAATGGCTTCAAACTACAGGAAAGGAGATTCCACCTGAAGATTAGGAAGAACTTCCTAACTGTGAGAGCTGTTCAGCAGTGGAACTCTCTGCCCCAGGGTGTGCTGGAGGATCCTTCTTTGGAGGCTTTTAAGCAGGCTGGATGGCCATCTGTCAGGGGTGCTTTGAATGCATTTTTCCTGCTTGTTGGCAGGGGGTTAGACTAGATGGTCCATGAGGTCTCTTCCAACTCTATGAATTCTATGAATTCTGTGAGCTGAACTTTTGCAAAATATTTTGCCTTCTCTGCCAAAAGTGCTGGTGTCTCACCAAACCAAAAACTCCAGGACCCCGTAGCCTTTAGCCAGGGCAGTTAAAGTGGTGTTAAACTGCATTTATTCTGTAACATAGAAAAGTAGACAATAATGATGCTGGTGGTGATGAAGATAACAACAACAGATTCTGTTTACCCATCCAAATGCTTTGGCAACCAAGTGGATTTCCCTTTTTCCTTACAGAGATCTCGGATCCCCAGCAGCAACTGTGCCTCGGGGTGTTGCAAAAGCGCAGAGTTCACCGGAGAGCCCCCCTGGCATTTCACCTAGCCACCCACCAAGGAGGAAGGCTTCGGGACTTGGTGAGGCCTTATGCAATTCAATACACAATGGCACAGAAGAGGAGGTTGATTTCATCTTCCTCACTGGCAGCAGAAACAATGGAGGTGTGGGTATATGAGGAAGGTTCTTCCTTTTGGAATGATGCTTCCAGAAGCCTCGCGACAGCCTTCAAGTCACTTTGGCTTATGACGACCCATGAATTTCTCAGGGTTTTCTTAGGCTTTGCCATTTCTGAAATATGGCCTCCAGCACCCAGGATTCCTTAGCCATCCTCTTGGGCTTAGGGAAGGTCTTCTATTTGGACTGCCACTCCTAAACTCCTCTAGTCAACTGTGGACTAGATGGACTCTGGGGTACCCTTCTGACTATGATTCTATTACTGTCTCTTGCCTCTGCTGAGTTGTCAGCGTAGGTCAATCCACTCTGCATGTCAGAATAAATGACTACTATCCCCAGATCCTTGCTGTCCCAGGTTGAGTAAATAATGAAGCAGATAGGCAGACCATCTCAGCAACTTGGCCAAGGTGGTCCATGCCTTAGTTACATCTAGAATGTACTATTGTAATGCACTCTATGTGGGGCTGCCGTTCAGAAATTGCAGTTAATGCAAAGGTCGGCTGCCAGATTTCTAAGTGGAACTAGCTATAGGGGACATACTATGCCCCTATTAAAGCATCTTAACTGGCTTCCGACAATTTTCTAGGCTCAATTCAAAGTGCAGGTTATTAACTACAAAGCCCTATATGCTTCGGGTCCAACCTGTTTTCAAGACCGCACACCTTTCTATGAAGCGACAGAGGCTTTGAGATCGGCAGGGGAGGCCCTTCTCTCAGTCCCACCACCGTCTCAAGTGAGGTTGGTTGGAACGAGAGAGAGGGCCTTCTCTGTAGTGGCTCCCCAGCTCTGGAATTCCCTCACAAAAGAGATTAAATTAGCCCCTACCCATGAATCCTTCCGTTATAGCCTAAAAACATGGATTTTTAAGCAGGCCTTTGACCTCAAGCAGGCTGAAATGGGCCTATATTAGGTTGACACTTTGGCACTTTACTTGTATATTGATGGCAACAAGTTTTAACCATTGATGGAAAGTGTTCTTCGATTGTGTATTTTATCTTATTTTATGTGTTGATAGTGATTGTTTATAATTTTATGTGATAATGTTTTATACTCATGGACTGTTGATGTTTATACTGCACTTGCAATTCCTTGTTAGCCACCCCGAGTCTCTTTTTGGAAGATGGAAGCAGGATATAAATAAAGTTGTATTATTATTATTATTATTATTATTATTATTATTATTATCCTGGTCTATCATTGACTAATTGGAGCCTCCAGTGGCGCAATGGGTTAAACTCTTGTGCCAGCAGGACTGCTGACCGAAAGGTTAGCGGTTTGAATCCGGGGAGAGGGGGGAGCTCCCATCTGTCAGCTCCAGCTTCTCATACGGGGACATGAGAGAAGCCTCCCACAGGATGGTAAAACATCCGGGCATCTCGTGGGCAATGTCCTTACAGATGGCCAATTCCCTAACACCAGAAGCAACTTGCAGTTTCTCAAGTAACTTCTAACATGAAAAAAGGACTAATTGAATTAGGTGCTTTATTTCTGTCCTGCATTCCCGCCCCCGCCCCCCATCCTTATGAATTTTATCCTTGCAAATAGCATTTTAACTAATTCCCTACATTTTAGCATTGCAATAACTGAATGTTTCACATTTATACAGTTTAAGTAACAGCAACAAAGTGGGGGGGGGGGGGAGCAAAGTGACCAAAGGAAAGCAAACACAGCATGTAAGAGTGCTAGGTAGGAACAATTGTCAATGTCTGTGCAGTGCTAGAAACTTGGAGATTGAAATATATTTTGCTGGAGTGGCTAATTCATATTTGAGGGAGGCAATACCCTCATTGTGCTACACCCCTATATTCAGGGGTTCCATTGTGTGCTATGCGAAGCAATGGTAGGACCTGTGTCTCTCCTCCCCTTGGATACCACAGACACTGTTTCCAGACGGAGGAAAGGGAGAAGGGATCTCAGTCTATAGGTCATTGCTGGCCTTGAGCAAGCCAATTATCCTCTTCTGGGTTGGGATATTATGCTTCAATGGTGGGCTGGTGGACGGAGCAATGATGCAAGATAACAGCTGACCTAGAAATGGATGTGAGGCCTGGAGCTCTGCTTCCATTGTGTGAAGGAGAGAATGCCATTCTACCAGAGAGGAATCTCTCCTGAATGAAATTATGCTTTTTTTAAAAAAAGCATCTTAATTGCACATTGTAAGGAATGGAAGGGTCAGACTCTGCAAACGCAGACCATTGTAGTCCTTCCGAGCTTGGCTGTTCTGCCTCTTAATAGCTTTTGCCATCTTGACCACACTGTGATATTGATTTCCTCCAAAAGTCCTGCGAAATGTTTGATGGTATGTTTTTTAAAAGGCTTCTGCTAAGCCTAAAATGGACCGGAAGAGCCAAACATGTGACAAATTTGTTGGGCAAGTGAGCTTATTAAGAAAAGACCCTCCTCATAAGCAGAGTAACATTATAGAATCATAGAATCAAAGAGTTGGAAGAGACCTCATGGGCCATCCAGTCCAACCCCCTTCCAAGAAGCAGGAATTTTGCATTCAAATCACCCTTGACAGATGGCCATCCAGCCTCTGTTTAAAAGCCACCAAAGAAGGAGCCTCCACCACACTCTGGGGCAGAGAGTTCCACGGCTCTCACAGTCAGGAAGTTCTTCCTCATGTTCAGATGGAATCTCCTTTCTTGTAGTTTGAAGCCATTGTTTCGCGTCCTAGTCTCCAGGGAAGCAGAAAACAAGCTTGCTCCCTCCTCCCTGTGGCTTCCTCTCACATATTTATACATGGCTATCATATCTCCTCTCAGCCTTCTCTTCTTCAGGCTAAACATGCCCAGCTCCTTAAGCCGCTCCTCATAGGGCTTGTTCTCCAGACTCTTGATCATTTTAGTTAGCAGCAGTGTGACCCACCACCTGTAGCCAAAAGCGATTAAAAGAACAAAAACACACAGACCAATGTTATTTCTTTCATAGGAGGCTTTTCTTTGTAGTAAAATAATATGGTTGCACTATTTAAAAGACCAAGGTTTCCATAACACAACTAAATTTCTTTATATTTACTTCCACACTGGGCTTCTTTCTCATGCAGACAAACAGCTTTGTTCTTACAGAGCCTCCTCTCACACCGAAGTTACATAGGAGTCTCTCATAGTAGCTTTTTACACACAGTAGCCTTCACACTGAAGCTTCACACATGATGGCCTTAAACCTGGGGCTTCTATCACCGAAGCTTCTCACACCAGACCTTCTCAAACTGAGGCCTACTAACACACTGAGGCCTTATCACACTGAGGACTCCCTCAGGGCCCTTCCACACAGCCCTATATCCCAGAATATCAAGGCAGGAAATCCCATATTATCAGAATGTGGACTCAGATAACCCAGTTCAAAGCAGATATTGTGGGATTTTCTGCCTTGATATTCTGGGATATAGGGCTGCGTGGAAGGGCCTTCTGACTGGGGTCTTTCTCCCACTGAGGTGAACTAACACTGAGGCCTACTCATACTGAGGCCTACTAACACACTGAGATTCTTCTCCCACAGAGACCTCTCACAGTCTGAGGCTACTAAACTACAGGCACACCTGCTTATACTGAACTGCTGCTTTTGCTGAGTTATTGTACCCATTTAACCCTTTCAATGCTTGACTCACATTTTTGTTATTTTTTAATATTTCCATATGTACCTGAGAGATCATTCGAGGACATTTGGGAGCAGGGAATGTGGGGTTTCTTAATGGATACAACTGTGCTGCTGTCCCCTCCTGGCTGTAATAATCTATAGGTAGAATGAACACGCTGCAGGTGAGTGCCTTCCCTCGGCCAAGGTGAACTGAGGCAGCTGCCTCACCCCTGTTCTTCTTCCCTTCTGCAGTGTGTTGCATACTTAAAAACCATCCTCCCCCCTCCTGACGGAGGGTTTCGAAGCAAGGTCCTCCTTTGACAGCAACAATGACCAGGTGCTTGGACGAGTCCGACATCGTCATGGTGGAGGAAGGCTTCACCACCAAGGATGTCTTGGAGAATCTCCTCCTCGAGATGGACCAGACGGTGAGAGGCCGAAGCCAATGGGTTTGGGGTTGTCATTTTCACAGTTTGGGGTCATGGCTTTGTCTTTTGCTTCTCTGAAACCTCCTCAGCTTGCATACCTGTAAGTCAGGCCCATCTACATTGCCATATATAATCCAAATTATCTACTTTGAACTGGATTGTATGGCAATGTAGACTTATATCCCCCAGATCAAATTAGATAATGTGGATTATCTGATTTTATAATCTGGATTATATGGCAGTGCAGAAGGGGTCACAATAAATAAGCCCCAGGTGGGACTTAAAAGGAACTCTCCAAGTTCCTGAACATTTGTACAGTAGGGCCTCCCCTGTCATAAAAGTTAGTGGTATATAATCCACACTGATGATCGTGCCATTACTGCTCAAGCAGGGAGCTTTGAGACGGTAGAACAGAAGCTCTCCGAAGCTCTAGGTGCTCTTACTGCCTACTACAGGGAAAACCAGCTGATCCCTAACCCATCTAAAACACAGACATGTGCCTTTCATCTCAAGAACAGAGAAGCATCCCGAGCTCTGAAGATCACCTGGGAAGGAATCCCACTGGAGCATTGCAGCACACCCAAATACCTGGGAGTCACTCTGGACCGTGCTCTAACCTACAAGAAGCACTGCCTGAACATCAAGCAAAAAGTGGGTGCTAGAAACAATATCATACGAAAGCTGACTGGCACAACCTGGGGATCACAACCAGATACAGTGAAGACATCTGCCCTTGCGCTGTGCTACTCTGCTGCTGAGTATGCATGCCCAGTGTGGAACACATCTCACCACGCTAAAACAGTGGATGTGGCTCTGAATGAGACATGCCGCATTATTACGGGGTGTCTGCACCCTACACCACTGAAGAAATTACACTGTCTAGCTGGTATTGCACCACCTGACATCCGCCGGGAAGTAGCAGCCAATAGTGAAAGGACCAAGGCAGAGATATCTCCAACTCATCCCCTGTTTGGGTATCAGCCAGCACGTCAACGACTTAAATCTAGAAATAGTGTTTTAAGATCTACAGAGACACTCGCTGGAACACCTCAGCAAGCGAGAGTCCAAAAGTGGCAGGCTCAAACCCAGAACCTCAACCAATGGCTGATACCAAATGAGAGACTCCCCCCTGGGCACACAGAAGACTGGGCGACTTGGAAGGCACTGAACAGATTGTGCTCTGGCACCACGAGATGCAGAGCCAACCTTCAGAAATGGGGCTACAAAGTTGAATCCACATGCGAGTGTGGAGAAGAGCAAACCACTGACCACCTGCTGCAATGCAACCTGAGCCCTGCCACATGCACAATGGAGGACCTTCTTGCAGCAACACCAGAAGCACTCCAAGTGGCCATATACTGGTCAAAGGACATTTAATCAACTACCAAACTCACAGGTTTTGTATTTGTCTGTTTGTTTGCTTTGTTCTGTTAGAAATGTAATATAATGGACTGGTTGCTCTGACACGACAAATAAATAAAATCCCCACAAAAGTGGGCCAACCACAAATTAAACATTATCTTTTTAATCTGTGAGAACACCTGTGTAGATATCATTAGGACCCCTTCTGCACTGCTATATAGTCTACATTATCTTTAAAAAATGATGTGCGATGGTAAGTTGCTGCTAAATGTGAGAGAAATAAGTTTGTGAAAGCCATCCACTACATGGCTACCAGCCTCCTCCCAGTAGACTCAAGTCAAGGAAAAGCTTTATGAGAACTACCACTCCTCTTGGCATCCCTCTGGGCAGCTAAACCAGGAAACGCCAACTGGATGGCCCCTCTTGAGGGTCTTCCTCCAGGGGCAAACCAAGAATGGGCAACTTGGAAGTCTCTGAACAGACTCAGAAGTGGAGTGGGCAGATCAAAAGACAACCTGGCAAAATGGCACTACCTAAAAGAATCTCACACCTTATGTGACTGTGGAGCAGAACAGACAACTCCACATCTGTATGCTTGTCCACTATGCCCTGCCTCATGTACAGAGGAAGAATTGTTGGAGGCTATAGACAATGCCATTGCTGTTGCCAGTTTTTGGTCAAAAGATATTTAGCCACCTGCGCTCCTTTATCGGTTTTATACTAATTTATGCAATGCTTTTGATACAAAATAAATAAATAATCTTAAAGTGTACTTTGCGGAGCCCTTTTGTGGAGCTGATCTATCACTCATCTGTTTGTCATCTACCATCTGCTTTATTGGAAAATCCATAATCTATTGGAAATTCCAGTGCACCATAACCTTATTGCAAAGGTAAAATGATGTCACCTCCGTTTGGCAAATGTGAATCTTTATGAACATAGAAACCACCTGAAAACCGCTAGTCAAAAGAAGTATGACTTTGTTAGATGTCAGCCATTAAGACAAGTGATTTTCATAAAGTATTGATGTAATAGCACGCAGGTAACTCAGCTGTTAAACTGGGAACCATGTCTTTAAACGGCCAAGGATAAAAACAGGTCACTACAAAAATATATCTGGTTAGCAGGGGATAGTTGTTTGAAGTAGAATTTGCAGTTGTCATTTGCTGTTGCCCCAAAAGATATATACACTCCCATAAAAGTGTATATATGCACTCAAGAGACAAAACAAAATAGTCGTCTTTGAAAAATGACATATCTTGTTTACTAACAAACTTGTATATATTCAGTATATAGGCAAATAGTCTTTAAAATGTCTTTAAGCATATCTGTACTCACTAAAGTCCACTACAGCACACACATCCACCTCCAATGAAGTGGTAAGCTGACTTACTACATTGAAGTCCATGAACAAACATCTATCTCATTCAAGTCCAAAAGCAAACTGAACACAAAGTGGGGTCCTGAGTTTGCATATGCTCAGTACAATCACATCTATAACTCCTCCCACATCAAAGAGATAAGTCAAACTGGCAAATCAACATACACATAGAATGCAGGCTAATAATTGTATATATATTAACAAATAGTTAGTGGAGGCTTGGAAGGTTGCTATTTCCAACATGCTTATCTAATGTCTACCTGTCATCTGTCTAGCCATGTATCCATTTATCCATCTTTCCAAACATACTGTATTCTCACATTCTCTCACAGAATACATACTGTATTCTCACAATAGGAAAGTCACACTTTTCATGAGTGAGATTCCCCCAAAACAAGATATGACCCCTGCCTTTATCACTTATTTCAGCTGTTTAAACTACAGATTCGTTTTTCCCAAAGGTTTTGACCAGTTCCGTTTCCATTTTGAGGTCCTAGCCCAGTGTGACCCTTGTGGGGTTTCTGGGATGGGGAAATGGCACCCAGATACCCTCCTCGTCACATAGAACCTGTCACGTGTCCCTGATATGTATAAGTCTTTTAGTGCTGTGGCTTTGAGGCTAGGATGATGGTGTTCTCCTTTGTTTTCCAGGGCAACCGGGAGCCCTTTTTCGTGGCGGATCTTGAGGAGGTGGTGAAGAAACACTTGCGCCTCCTGAAGGCCTTGCCGCGGATCAAGCCCTTCTATGCCCTGAAGTGCAACCGGAGCAAGGGAGTGGTGCAGACGCTGGCAGGTCTGGGGGCTGGGTTCAGCTGTGCCAATAAGGTAGGAAAGTGTCAGGGAGAAGGGGCTGAGACACACACACACACACACACACACACACCCCGCACCCATTCAAAACAAACTGGATTGGGACATGTTCATTCAGTTTCTATGGCTCCAGGTGCACCACATGGCACAATTATAGCACCATTAACAGGTTGGGTATCCTATATTTGGAAATAAAAAATGCTCCAAAATCATCCCAGTCAGTGGCTGAGATATTTATTATTATTTATTTGCTGTATTTATAAACCGCCTTTCTCAACCCTGAGGGGGACTCAAAGGGGTTTACAACATATTAATGGCAAAAAGTCAATGCCAACATATAGTAACACAAAGAAACTAATTACTACATATAACTTTGACTTAAAATATTTAAAACAATTAAACATAACACATTAACAAAATTTAAGCATTCAGAGAAAGTATTAAAATCATCCTAGTATAATATGAAAATCACATAATAAAAAAAATAATACTCCACAGCCATTCCAATTGTCATTGCACATGTCCTTAATTGTTCTTTGTACCGTGTTATTTTACTAGCCAAAGGCTTGATCCCACAAACAGGTATTTGGTCTCTTTCTAAAAGTCAGGAGGGAGGGTGCTGATCTAATCTCACTGAGGAAGGAGTTCCAGAGCCGAGGAGCCGCCACTGAGAAGGCCCTGTCTCTTGTCCCCACCACTCGTGCCTGCAACGGAGGCAGGACTGGGAGCAGGTCCTCCCCAGATGATCTTAACTTCCATGATAGTTCATAGAGGGAGATATGTTCAGACATGTAAGCTGGGCCAGAACCGTTTAGAGCTTTATAGGCTAAAGCAAAAACTTTATTTATTTATTTGTTTGTTTATTTACATTTTTTCTATCCCGTCCATTTCAGCCTGAAGGCAACTCAGGGCGGTATACACAGTCGGCACAATTCGATGCCGAAACAAAATACATACATTGATAAAGCAAAAACATCAAGTGCAATTAAACATAAACGACAGTGCAAAATGAACAATTTAAAAATAAACGATGTCCTCTCATTCAAATCTTCATCCGTTACATTGTCTTGGGCATTCCTGGATCAATTTCTAACACTAGTTTGTCTGTTTACTCCGGGGTTCCGAATGCTTGCTCGAAGAGCCAAGTTCTTACTCTTTTTCGGAAAGTCAGGAGGGAGGGGGCTGATCTAATATCCCTAGGGAGGGAGTTCCACAGCCGAGGGGGGGGCACTACAGAGAAGGCCCTGTCTCTCGTTCCCGCCAGACATGCCTGTGAAGCAGGCGGGATCGAAAGCAGGGCCTCCCCAGACGATCTTAAGTTCCTGGGGGGTTCGTAGGAAGACATGCATTGAGATAGATAGACTGGGCCAGAACCGTTTAGGGCTTTATAGGCTAAAGCCAGCACTTTGAATTGAGCCCGGTAGCAGACTGGCAGCCAGTGGAGCTGATTCAACAGAGGAGTTGTATGCTCCCTGAGCCCCACTCCTGTTAGCAACCTGGCTGCCGCACGCTGGACCATTTGAAGCTTCCGGGCCATCTTCAAAGGCAACCCCATGTAGAGCGCGTTGCAGTAATCTATACGGGATGTAACCAGAACATGGACCACTGTGGCCAAGTCAGACTTCCCAAAGTACGGGCACAGCTGGCTCACAAGTTTTAATTGTGCAAATGCTCCCCTGGTCACCGCCAAAACCTGGAGATCCAGGCTCAGCGATGAATCCAGGATCACACCCAAGCTGCGAACCTGCGTCTTCAGGGGGAGTGTAACCCCGTCTAACACAGGCTGTAACCCTATGCCCTGTTCGGCTTTTCAACTGACCAGGAGTACCTCTGTCTTGTCTGGATTCAATCTCAATTTGTTAGCCCTCATTCAGTCCGACACAGCGGCCAAGCACCGGTTCAGGACCTGAACAGCCTCCTTAGTAGTAGGTGGAAAGGAGTGACAGAGCTGGACATCATCTGCGTACAGATAACACCGCACCCTGAAACTCCGGATGATCTCCCCCAGCGGCTTCATGTAGATGTTAAACAACATGGGGGGCAGTATAGAGCCTGCGGGACCCCACAAGACAATGGTTGTGAGGTCGAGCAGTTGTCCCCCAACAACACCTTCTGAGTGCGATCCTCTAAGAAGGACCCAAGCCACTGCAAAACAGTGCCACCAAGGCCCATTCCCATGAGGCGTCCCAGAAGGATACCGTGGTTGACGGTATCGAAGGCCGCTGCGAGGTCCAGCAGAACCAACAGGGACACACTCCCCCTGTCTAGCTCCCGGCGAAGATCATCGACTAAGGCGACAAAGGCTGTCTAAGTACCATGTCTCGGCCTAAAACCAGACTGTCCCAGCCTAAAACCAGACAGATCTAGATAATCCGTGTCTTCCAAGAATACCTGGAGTTGTGAGGCCACCACACGTTCCAGGACTTTACCCAAAAAGGGGAGATTAGAAACAGGCTGATAGTTGACGAATTGAGTGGGGTCCAGTGATGGTTTCTTCAACAGCGGTTTTATTATAGCTTGTTTTAAGCTCGCCGGAATACTGCCTTCTCGAAGGGAGGCATTAACCACCACCTTCACCCACTCGGCCAATCCCCCTCTGGCCTCCTTTAGAAGCCAGGATGGGCAGGGGTCTAGGATGCATGTGGTTGCCCTCATTACTCCGAGTATCTTGTCCACATCCTCGGGTTTCACCAATTGAAATGAATCCATCAAAATAGGACAAGCAGGTGCTCTTGTTACATCCTCAGATGTGCTCGGTAGCAGACTCGCAACCAGTGGAGCTGACGTAACAGGGGTGTTGTGTGCCTATAACCCACTCCAGTGAGAAATCTGACTGCTGCCTGCTGGACTACTTGAAGCTTCCGAACAGTTTTCAAAGGCAACCTCATGAATAGCACGTTGCAGTAATCTATTCTCAATGTAACAAGAGCTTGGACCACTGTGGTGGTTCTTTATAATGACCTCTTTGCTTTCTGACGTAGTCCGGAAACTATATTTCATGCCCAAACTTATTAAAAACATTGCATGAGGTTTATTTATTTATTTATTTATTTACAACATTTATATCCCACTCTTCTTACCCCTAAGGGGACTCAGAGCATCTTACAAGTTATATGTACATATAAGGTATTATGGAGCTCCAGTTGCGCAGTCAGTTAAACCACTGAGCTCCTGAACTTACTGGCCAAAAGGTCACAGGTTCGAATCCGGGGAACAGTGTGAACTCCTGCTGTTAGCCCCAGCTTCTGCCAACCTAGCAGTTCGAAAACATGCAAATGTGAGTAGATCAATAATAGGTACTGCTCTTGTGGGAAGGTAATGGTGCTCCATGCAGTCATGCTGGCCACATGACCTGGGAGGTATCTATGGACAACACCAGCTCTTTGGCTTAGAAATTGAGATGAGCACCACCCCGCAGAGTTGGGCACGACTAGACTTAATGTCAGGGGAAAACCATTACCTACCTTTACTACAATGTACCTTTACTACAATAGCACAAATTTAGTGTTGTATCACTATATTGTACTATACCACTATACTGCAATATTTTTAGTAATATTACATGTAATATATAATTATTATATTAATATATTGTATTACAATTTTATGATCAATATTATATGTACATATAATAAATGAATGAAGTGACTTTCAGGCTATATGTATAATAATAATAATAATAATAATAATAATAATAATAATAATAATAATTTATTTGTACCCCGCTACCATCTCCCCAAGGGACTCAGTGTGGCTTACATGAGACCGAGCCCACAATACATCAGCAAAAAACAACAGTAATACAGAACAATAAAATAAACTCATAAACAAAAAATAGGCAGTAAACATCAACAATAACACAATAACATTTAAAAACCTATGGCTAGGCCAAATGTAATAATTAAAATTTAAAAATAATGCTGAGCAAGACCAGGTAAAATATAACTAGGATAGAATTTCGGAAAAGAATGGTGCGTAGTATAGGGTCTCTGTGAGACATAAAAGGTTTTGTATTTAGACCTGGGTCTCATCTCTAAAATGTTTCATCATATATGTAAATATAAGTCTTCCAAAATAAAAAAATAAGTCTGAAATCTAAAACACTTGTGCCCCAGGCATTTCGGATAAGGGAGACTCAACCTGTAATAAATAACGTAAATGAGAAAAAGAGTTCTCCAAGGTGCTGAACTCTCCCTCCCTTTCTCTCAATAAGTGCCTTGTTTATTTCCGTTAAAATTCAGACTGGAACCCCATCAACAAGGAAGCTGCCAGGCGCTGCCTAAATGTGGGGGGCAAGGCCTGATTCTGCAGGACATGTGCTGGTTTTGACCTACAAAACCCTATACGGTTCCGGCCCAGCGTATCTGTTCGAACGCATCTCCCTTTACGTCCCATCTCGGAGTCTGAGATCCTCTGGGGAGGCCCTGCTCTCGGTCCCGCCTCTGTCACAAGTGAGATTGGCGGGGACGAGGAGCAGGGCCTTCTCAGTGGTGGCCCCTCACCTATAGAATTCACTCCCCGGGGAAATTAGATCAGCAACATCCCTCCTTTCCTTCAGAAAGAAATTAAAAACATGGATGTGGGACCAGGCGTTTGGGCAATCTGGCAGATGAATAAAGGACTGTGACGATGGATAGGATTGGACAAGGTGGAACGAAATATGAACTCTGAGTTGGCGAAAGCTGTGTCTGAGATTGGCTATTGACTGTGTGATATATTGTTGTTTTTAAGTGTTTTAATTGTTGACCATTTAATTGCTGGTTCTTATATGTTATTGTATTTGTGTAGGCACCAAGATGTGCCTTTTTGTAAGCTGCCCTGAGTCCCCCCTCGGGGGTTGAGAAGGGCGGGGTAGAAGTATATGAAATAATAATAATCCCCCTTCTCTCCAAAATGCAACCAGCTGTGTCCTTCCAAAAGTATTTCCTTGTTGTCTCTCCAGACAGAGATGGCCCTGGTGAAGAGTATTGGGATTCCAGCGGAGCGGATCATCTGTGCCAGCCCCTGCAAGCAGCTCTCCCTGATCAAGTACGCAGCCAGCCAAGGGGTGCAGCTGATGACCTTCGACAATGAGGTGGAGCTGGGGAAGGTGGCACGCAGCCACCCCTCCGCTAGGTAGGTAGGCCTTGGCAGCACTAGGCACAAGGGGTATGGCACGCAATGAAAAGGTATAGAATATATGTGTGACTCCCTACCCTCACTTACATAAATGGTAAAGCTAAAAGAGCCATCGTATCCTAGAACTGGAAGGGGTCCCCAGAAGCCATTGAATCCAGCCCCTTCCTTATCCTCAGCGGCAGGGAACTGTAAGCCTCACTTTTGGAGACATCCAGAGAAGGAGACCCCACCACCTCTAAGACCAGATACATAAATGGTAAAATGCAAAGAGCCATAGTATCTTAGAGGTGGAAGGGTTCCTCATAGATCATCTAGTCCAACCCTTGTAGCAGGGAGTTCTCGGTCTCATTTTTGGAGATGTCCAGAGCAGGAGAACCCATCCTCTCGTTGGACATTTGATCTCATTGTCCAGTGGCTTTCACTGTCAAGAGATTCTTTCTAATGTGGCCTGAGGTGTAGAGATTTTAATGACAATGATACATGTTATTTTTATGTTTGTTTGTATTTATGTAATTTGTGTATTATGCAGTGTTTTGATTTTCTGTTTATATCAGGTTGGTGGGATGCTGGTTTTTATGTATTATGTAGGCTTTTTTCTAGTTTGTTCGCCACTTTGAGTCCCATCGTAGGAAAAAAGTGTGATAAAAGTAAATAAATAAGTAATAAAGGGGACTGTATGACTATGACTGTAGACAGGACATAAATTCTATGTGCCCAACGGGACGCCGGGGCTGCCTCAGATTAAAGGCCCTTGGACCTCCCCAAAACAAAGTTCTGTAGAGGCTTAAAGTAAGTCCAACAAAGTTCTTTATTGATGAAAACAAACAGGTACTTTAAAGCTTTCTTAACAGTCTATTGGCTCTTGCAATCTTGTTCACTGGGAACAGGCACTATCTTCATAACTGTATACTAACTAATGGGGAAATCCTTAACTTCTAATCTGGGCAGTCTGTACTTGCCTCTGTTGGCGTGAGCGACCCTTACCAAGCAGAGCTTTGTAGACTTCCAGGGGAAAAGAAGGAGTTCAGGTTTCAGTGATGGCTGGCTGAAGTCCCTCAGCAAAGGAGCTGTAAGGCTGCAAAATCCTCAGCCAAGCTGTGGGCCTTTTCTCCCCTGCCAAGCTGTAGGGCTGTATAACCCCGGCCAAGCTGTAGGCTGTATATCTCCCCGGCCGAGCCGTAGAAGACAAAGCTTTCTACAGGAGCTCTTGGTTTTATGTCCTGTATGAAAAATTCTCTGTGTGGACTGAACCCAAAAAGGCTCCTATTCCCTCCAAAAACCCAAAAAGGGGGCGGGACCAGGGAACCTAACTATAATTGACAGGTGGCTTGCCCTATGATTGCAGCCAAAAGAAGCCACCTATCTGCAGAGTCCCTGAAACTTAGGACTGCAACAAACATTCAATGCAAAGCAAACAAAATTGGAGCTCCTGGTACAGCTGTACCTGCACATCAAGGGAATACCTGACACAAAACTATCCGGGCCAGTTAACACCTCCCAACAAAGGACTCCCCCAGACATTCTTTGAAGCTGCAAGGCCATTCAGTGCTAATCAAGGTAGCCAGTTGCAACATTCACACTTGCCTCCAGCAATCAGGAGTTCTTTCTCCCACCCTGGACATTCCATTCCAGATATATAAACCCCACTTGCCTAGTTTCCAACAGACCTCACAATCTCTGAAGATGCCTGCCATAGATGCAGGTAAATCAGGAGAGAATGCTTCTGGAACATGGCCATGCAGCCAGGAAAACTCAAAGCAACCCAATAATAATAATGTTCTGTTGAAATCTAAATGTAAAGGTAAAGGTTTCCCCTGACATTAAGTTTAGTCGTGTCCAACTCTGGGAGGTGGTGCTCATCTCCATTTTTAAGAGCTGCCGCTGTCCGTAGATGTCTCCAAGTTCATGTGGCCAACATGAGTGCATGAAACGCCATTACCTTCCCGCCGAAGCGGAATCTATGTCACATTTGCACATTTTTCAACTTCTAGGTTGGCAGAAGCTGGACCTAACAACGGGAGCTCACCCCACTATTATTATTGCTAATAATAAAATAATAAAAATAATAATAATTAGATAGATAGATAGATAGATAGATAGATAGATAGATAGATAGATAAAAATGTAGCTGACCATGTTTTCTGTCTCTGTTCCTTTCCTGCAAGAATGCTCCTCTGCCTAGCAACAGATGACTCCCGCTCTTCCACCCATCTGAGCATTAAATTTGGAGCTACCCTTAAAACCTGCCGGCATCTCCTCGAAACTGCAAAGGAGATGAAGGTGGAGGTTGTGGGCATCAGGTAAGTAAGTGGTAGATTTCTTTGCAGTGCTTCTAAAATTTTGGAGGGGACCAGCAAAATCTTCCAGGGCAGTAGGACTTAAGGCCAGACCGAAGGAAACATAGGTCCAAAGACCACTCCTAAAGAACCGGGTCTGGAAACATTGTTGAAGCAGTAAACTATATAATCACAATTCCCTCAATAAAAAAGTGCTTCCAAAGGAATGTATTTCTAACAAGGCTATACAAGTGTGAAGTGTGTGTGTGTGTGTATACAGACACACACACAAACACACACATCTACATATATATTAGCTTGGGTACCCACCATTGCCTGGGTTATTTGAAAAAGTCCGTTTTTTAATTGCACAAAATGCATAAGGTTATGGGTGAACTACAACTCACATCATACCAGGTTAACCCCAAAAAACTACATCAGTACTTAAAGTTTGTTATGTTGGGCAAGTTTAGATTCATCATTGGAGGGGTTCAGTGTGCTCTCTGGCTGCAGGGTAAACTACAACTCCCATGATGGTGAGTCAGTCCCCTCAAACCCCTCCAGTAGGTTGAGTTAGTCATGGAAGTTCTGTGGGCCAAGTGTGGTCCAGGTTCATCATTGGTGGAGGTCACAGTTTCTCTAGTTGTGGATGAACTACAACTCCCAGAAAAGAAGGTCAATTCCCCCCAAACCCCTCCAGTAATCATATTTCAGCATATCAGGTATGTATGCCAAGTTTGGTCCAGATCCATCAGTGTTTTGGTTCACAGTGCTCTATGGATGTAAGTGGACTGCAGCTCTCCCAAACCAAGGTGAATTTTCCCCAAAGACCTCCAGTATTTATTTATTTATTTATTTATTTATTTATTTATTTATTTATTTTTGCTGGTCATGGGGACTGTGTGCCAAGTTTGGTCCAATTCCATCTTTGGGGAGGTCAGAGTACTCATTGATTGCAGGTAAACTATATATCCCAGTACCTAAAACTCAAAAATGTCCAGCCTCAAAACCCACCAGTATTTACATTTGGGCATATCAGGTATGTATGTCAAGTTTGGTCCAGATCCATCATTGTTTGGGTTCATAGTATGCTCAGGATGTGGCTGAACTATAACTCCTATTAATCCCTCCAGAGACCTCCACTATTTTTTGTTGGGGGTTCTGTGTGCCAAGTTAGTTCCATGTCCCTCGTTGGTGCAATCATAGAATCATAGAATCATAGAATCAAAGAGTTGGAAGAGACCTCATGGGCCATCCAGTCCAACCCCCTGCCAAGAAGCAGGAATATTGCATTCAAATCACCCCTGACAAATGGCCATCCAGCCTCTGCTTAAAAGCTTCCAAAGAAGGAGCCGCCACCACACTCCGGGGCAGAGAGTTCCACTGCTGAACGGCTCTCACAGTCAGGAAGTTCTTCCTAATGTGTTCAGAATGTTCTTAGATTGCAGGTGAACTATGCATCCCAGCACCTACAACTCCTATAAATCATGGTGAATTCTCCACAAACCTCTCTAAGTATGTTCAGTTTCTGATCAATTCCTCTGTTTCCTATGTGATATAGAAAAGAATAGGAAAGGGTTAAGGGAGAGGCAGTGGGCGGGGTCATGCAAATTCCACACCAATGGAGAAAGTAAGAAACACTGGGAGGCCTGTGGTGGAGGAAACAGATAAAATCTAGGATGAAAAGGTCCCCCTATGAAAGCCTTCACTTGGGTGGTGGGCAGTATTGTGTTTGTGGAAGACATTGGCAGGGCTATTGGACATGTTCATGGCGCTCACTATAATCTGCAATGTCATTGGAGGATGGGCCTTTGGTGTCTCCTAAGTAGTGTCTGGTATAGCTGCTTGTAGAGGCAGGAGTTTGTCTGTATAAGTGGATATGCCAGCCACACACACACATATATTTTCACTTTTATTATGTGTATGGATATATATCTCAAAGTTCTTATACATATTTGTAAAAAGGTACATCTCTACATCAAAGCTTTCCTCAAAATATGAAGGTCACTTGTTATAATTCACAATTATATAGAGCCTGTCTATTAGACTTTCTCTTTCAATAATTCAAAGTGCTGGTCTTGACCTATAAAGCCCTATACAGTTCTGGCCCAGCTTACTTGTCCGAATGTATCTCCCCCTACGTCCCACCTCGAAACTTACGATCTTCCGGGGAGGCCCTGCTCTCAAGCCCACCTTTGTCGCAAACACACTTGGTGGGGATGAGGGACAGAACCTTCTCGTCGGTGGCCCCCCGCCTGTGAAACTCACTCCCCAGCGAAATTAGGTCAACAGCTTCCCTCCTTTCCTTCAGGAAAAAGTTGAAGATGTGGCTATGGGACCAGGCATTCGGATAGCAGGCTGACAATAAAAATGATGACAATGCTATGGAAAATGGACTATGGACAGGCTACAGATTAAGTTGTTGATCGTAGAACTCGGACTTGACATGCCAACTAATTTAATTTGCACTATTTTAAACGAGTTTTTAATCTAATTTTAATGTTTAATGTTTTGCTTATTATGTAACGGTTGTTTTATCTGTTGTATATGGGGGGCATCGAATTGTTGCTGGCTGTAAGCCTCCCTAAGTCCCCCTTCGGGGGTAGAGAAGGGCAGGATACAAATATTTGAAATAAATAAAAATAAATAAATAACATTTTTATGTCAAGTGCCTCTTTACAAACCTCCCTGGAAAAGCAACAAACTTTTTAAAAAAAATCTCTGCACTTTCCCTGTTACCTTGATAACATTTCTAGAGAGCATGCACAAAATGTCCTTGTTGCCTTCTCTCCCCAGTTTCCACCTCGGCAGCAGCTGCCCTGACCCCCAGGTCTTCACTCAGTCCATAGCAGACGCTCGCCTGGTCTTTGAAATGGGGGCAGAAGTGGGCTACAAGATGCATCTGCTGGACATCGGAGGGGGCTTCCCCACTTTCGAAGAGTCCAGGGGCCGCTTTGAAGAGGTACATATTGTATTGTCACTATTTTATTGTATTACTATGTTACTGTTAAGCATTTTTATTTGATGTTATCATCTGCTTTGTATGCATTATATTTTGCTTTATTGTAATTACTTGGGCTTGGCTTCATGTTAGCCGCACCGAGTCCCTTCAGGGAGATGGTGGCGGGGTATAAATAAAGTATTATTATTGTTATTATTATTATTACTAGCCAACCCCTGCCACGCGTTGCTGTGGCCCAGTCTGGTGATCTGAAAATAAAGTAATGAGAAAGTGTTGGTTTCTAATATATGTAATTTCTTTAGGCTTGTGGGTAAACAGTATTTTTTGCTGTTTCTTTGTCAGTGTTGATGCAGGGATTGTCTGGTTTGCCTACTCTGGAACATGCAACATATAATTGTCCTTCTTTAGGGATCCCTTTCACATCTATGATATTACGTGTGTGTGTGAATCATATTTATCTATCTATATCTATGGCTAGATAGCTTTTTGTCAGGAGGGCTTTGATTACGTTTTCTTGCCCTGGTGAAGGGAGTTGGACTAGTTGGACATGATGATGGTTCTGTGTGGGAAATTTGCCCCAATTCTGTCGCTGGTGGGGTTCAGCATGCTCTTTGATTGTAGTTGAACTATAAATCCCAGTAACTATAACTCCCAAATGTCAAGGTCTATCCCCCCCCCCCCCAAAAAAAACAACCTCCATCTGTGTTTATATTTGGGCATATGGAATATTCGTGCCAAGTTTGGTCCAGATCCATCATTGTTTGAGTCCAAAGTGCTCTCTGGATGTAGGTGAACTACAACTCCCAAACTCAAGGTCAATGCCCACCAAACCCTTCTAGTGTTTTCTGTTGGTCATGGGAGTCCTGCGTGCCACATTTGGTTCAATTCCATCTGTTGGTGGAGTTCAGAATGCTCATTGATTGTAGGTGTACTATAAATCCCAACAACTACAACTCCCAAATGACAAAATCAATTTTTTGGAGTGATGGTCACTCCTTGGGTTAGTAGGTGTCTTGTGGCCAAATTTGGCGGCAATTCATCCAGTGGTTTTTGAGTTATGTTAATCCCACAAACAAACATTGCATTTTTATTTATATAGATTATTATTGGTTTTATGGGAGCTGCTTTGAGCCTCTTTTTAGAAAAAATGGGATACACATAAAACTAATAAATATGCCCCTCTCTGTCCCATTCATTTTCTTTCTTCATTTTCAGGAGACTATGGGAGAAAGGAATTGGGGATTCTGGGAGATATAGTCCAAAAATGTAACTCTTCCAAAGCTCCCAATGAGATGTGATGCCATACAATGTGTTACTTACACATTGTAGACTGGTTGATTGTTGACAGTACAGAATTATAGCTGTTTGACACCACTTTTAATTGCAATGGCTCTGTATTACACTATGCAACATGATTTTTGTTCCTGTGTTATAAATGTCATTTCCTAATTGGATCTGTCATAAAAACATGGGAAAAGTTATTATCTGCAGCATATTTTGCTATAGTTTTTCAATGAATATCTCATCGAGTCTCAACTAACTCAACCTATGTATTGTCGAAGGCTTTTATGGCTGGAATCACTAGGTTCTTGTGGGTTTTTTCGGGCTATAGGGCCATGTTCTAGACGCATTTCTCCTGACGTTTCGCCTGCATCTATGGCAAGCATCCTCAGAGGTAGTGAGGTCTGTTGGAAATAGGACAATGGGTTTATATATCTGTGGAATGGCTGGGGTGGGGCAAAGAGCTCTTCTCTGCTAGAGCCAGGTGTGAATGTTTCAACTGACCACCTTCATTAGCATTAGAAGGCCTGGCTGAGCCTGGGAAAATCTTTTGTTGAGAGGTGTTAAGATGTGCCTGGTTGTTTCCTCTCTGCTGTTTTGCTGTTGTAATTTTAGAGTTTTTTCGTATTGGTGAATGGTATTGATCCAGTTTTGTAGCTCCTGGTTCAGGACATTTATTTATTTATTTGTGACATTTATATGCCTCCCTTCTCACCCTGAAGAGGACTCAGAGCGGCTTACAAGTAATATGTAAATATGGCTCGGAAGCTCCAACTAGTCCAACGGGCGGCAGCCATGGTACTAACAGGAGCAGGACGCAGGGAGCATACAACTCCTTTGCTGTACCAGCTCCACTGGCTGCCGATAAGCTACCGGACCCAATTCAAAGTGCTGGCACTGGCCTTTAAAGCCCTAAACGGTTCTGGCCCAACATATCTATCCGAACGTATCTCGGCCTATCAGCCCACCAGGACCCTAAGATCTTCGGGAGAGGCCCTTCTCTCTATCCCACCTGCTTCACAGGTGCGGTTGGCGGGAACGAGAGACAGGGCCTTATCTGTGGTGGCCCCGCGGCTTTGGAATGCCCTCCCTATAGAGATAAGATCAGCCTCCTCACTAATGATCTTTCGGAAAAAACTAAAAACATGGATGTTCGAGCAAGCATTCGGCTAATCTGTCACGATGTTGTTTTTGACCAAGGACTGGCAATTACCGACAATGAATTGGACTGTGATTTTTATTTAAGAGATGCACTGGTCTGTATTGGTGGCCCAATACTGTGTTTTATATATGTATGTGTTTTTATATTTTTTATTGTTGTTTTAAATGCTGTTAACCGCAGTGAGTCGCCGTTCTAGGCTGAGATACTGGCGGTATATAAGTGTACCAAATAAATAAATAAATAAATAAATAAATACAATATATTATATTATTACCATAGCACAATATTAGTATTACATCTATATATATATATAAATGCTCTGTGCGTAATGAGTACCTTAAAAACAAAAGAACCAATGAACAAAATCACACCAAATTTGGCAACAAAACGTCTCACAACACAAGGAGTGAAATCTGGCTACCAGTATTAAAAAACTCTAAAATTACAACAGCAAAACAGCAGAGTGGAAACAACCAGGCACATCTTAACACCTCTCAACAAAAGATTTTCCCAGGCTCAGGCAGGCCTTCTAATGCTAATGAAGGTGGTCAGTTGAAACATTCACACCTAGCTCCAGCAGGGAAGAGCTCTTTGCCCCACCCCAGCCATTCCACAGATATATAAACCCATTGCCCTATTTCCAACAGACCTCACTACCTCTGAGGATGCTTGCCATAGATGCAGGCGAAATGTCAGGAGACATGCCTCTAGAACATGGCCCTATAGCCCGAAAAAAACCCACAAGAACCTAGTAACTCAACCTAGTTTGTGGCAGCTACAAAAACAAAGTTTCTGGAGTAGAACAACTGCTATTGAAGTAAGGATCACACAATTAAACAGTAAATGACACTTTCAATGCAGGAACAGAACATTTTTCAAATTATATTACATATTGCTATAGAATCCTGGGATTGAATGTTTGTTGTGGCAGCAGAGCAGTCTGAAAGAGCTCACATAATTACAACTCCTACAATTACATAGCATGGAACTGTGGCAATTAATACAAAATCAAACTGCTATAATTCTTCAGCACGGATACAGCTATTGTTACAGATGAGCCTTAACGTTTTGTTCGAACCACAGGGTATTATTACTATTATTATTCTCCATTGTTATCCTGAATTAGATGCCCCTACTCACCCCATTATTTGCTTCAAAATAGACAGATTTGTAATGCTGTGTGAATGGTATTGATCCAGTTTTGTAGCTCCTGGTTCAGGACATTTATTTATTTATTTGTGACATTTATATGCCTCCCTTCTCACCCTGAAGAGGACTCAGAGCGGCTTACAAGTAATATGTAAATACAATATATTATATTATTACCATAGCACAATATTAGTATTACATCTATATATATAAAAATGCTCTGTGCGTAATGAGTACCTTAAAAACAAAAGAACCAATGAACGAAATCACACCAAATTTGGCATCAAAACGTCTCACAACACAAGGAGTGACCATCACTCAAAACATTATGATTTTGTCATTTGGGAGTTGTAGTTGCTGAGATTTATAGTTCACCTATATCAAAGGGCATTCTGAACTCCACCAATGATGGAATTGAACCAAACTTGGCACATAGGACTCTCCTGACCAACAGAAAACACTAGAAGGGTTTGGTGGGCATCGACCTTGAGTTTTGGAGTTGTAGTTCACCTACATCTAGGGAGCACTGTGGACTCAAACAATGATGGATCTGGACCAAACTTGACACAAATACTCAATATGCCCAAATATGAACACAGATGGAGTTTGGGGGAAATAGACCTTGACATTTGGGAGTTGTAGTTACTGGGATTTATAGTTCACCTACAATCAAGGAGCATTCTGAACTCCACCAATGACAGAATTGGGGCAAACTTCCCATACAGAACCCTCATGACGAACAGAAAATACTGTTTTCTGGTGATCTTTGGCAGCCCTTCTGACACCTCCTCGTAACCCCCCAGGGGTCCCAAACCCCAGATTGAGAAATGCTGCCTTAAGGCCATCCAGTCCAACTCCCTTCACCAGGGCAAGAAAACATAAAGCCCTCCAGACAAAGAGCCATCTAGCCATAGATATAGATAAATACTGGTATATATGATTCACACACACATGTTTATGACAGATACAGTACCATGGATTTGAAAGGGACCCCTAAAGAAAGACAATTATATGTTGCATGTTCCAGAGTAGGCAAACCAGACAATCTTTACATCAGCACTGACAAAGAAAAAACAATACTGTTTACCCACGAGGATAGAGAAATTACATATATTAGAAACCAACACTTCCTCATTACTTTATTTTCCAGATCACCATTCTGACCCACAGCAATGCGTGGCAGGGGACCGCTAGTATTCCTATATTGCACCATACCATTATACTGTAATATTACATGTAATATAAAATATATAATTATAATATATTATTATTAGTATTATATTGTATTACATTATAATTATCAATATTATATGTATATAAATTATATTATATTATATTATATTATATTATATTATATTATATTATATTACATTATTAGCACAGTGCAGGAGACAAGGTGGAACTGTCTTCCTGGCCCCCTCTCTTCACTCTGGTCCCAGAGCAGCGGTTGGTGCTGGGGGGAAGGCTCCCAACTGGTGACACAGGAGATAAGATGTAATTGTCTTCCTGACCCCTCTCTTCACTCTTTTGTGACTCACATTTGAACAGCCACTCGGTCTGGGTGTCTTTTACAAATTTTTCTCTATTTTCTGCTTTGCACTCATTCAGACAGTGGCTGTGGTCAACTCTGCCTTGGATCTGTATTTCCCTGAAGGCTGTGGGGTGGAGATCATTGCCGAACTGGGGCGCTATTATGTGGATTCGGCCTTCACTTTAGCAGTCAACATTATTGCCAAGAAGGAAGTATCCCTGGACCAAGTGGGCTCTGAAGGTAGTCAATGGTTGGAAAGGTTGGATGAGGGGGAGGGGGGGAGGTCAGGAAACAGCCATTAGTAAAGGCATAGCTTTCCCCTTGACATTAAGTCTGGTTGTGTCCAACTCTGGGGGCTGGTGCTCATCGCCACTTCTAAGCCGAAGAGCCGGCATTGTCCATAGACATCTCCAAGGTCATGTGGCTGGCATGACTGCATGGAGCACTGTTACCTTCCAGCTGAATCAGTACCTATTGATCTACTCACATTTGCATGTTTTGAACTACTAGGTTGGCAGAAGCTGGGGCTAATAACAGAAGTTCACCCCATTTCCCATGAAGGCACAAGATCTGACCATGATCTCTTTTCCCCAATGCTGCAGGCTAGAGATTCCTGAGCATTGTGGGAAAGGGACCCTTTTTGGATTGTCACTCACAGAAGACCGCAGCCAACATTCTGGGAGTGGCAGTCCATAAAGAAGTACAGAAGGACCACCAATTAATCCATTTCATTTGGAGGAATGGACAAAACCACCTTTGAGGATTCCTTGCATAGGAAAACCCTACAAAATTCATTGGGTCACCCTAAGTGGACAGGCAATTTGGAGTCATATTCATACGGAACCAGAAAAGAAGGTCTAGACTCTTAGATCCTAAAATGAAAAGTGCCCTAAGATGTCCCTGACTTGGCCTCTGGTGCATTTCCCTTCCCTTCAGATGAAGACCCCGGTGGCAAGAAGAGCTTTGTCTACCATCTCAACGATGGCGTTTACGGCTCCTTTGGCTCAGTCATCTTCAACAACGCTTGCCCTGTACCCATCCTGCATCAGGTAAGGAAGGTTTTTGCTCCTGGGACTCATGAATGGAGGAAAGCCAGGCAAATCTGCTCCCTCCTTTCACAGAGACCCACTTGCTTGGATGGCTGAAATATGGGTTTGAATTTAGCAGGCTTAATGTGGTTTGAAACCATACACTGAGAGACATCTAATAGCCACTTTCTGACCCAGTTTCAGTTTCCATTTTTCAAGGGCACACCTAAGCATAATCTATCTGTTGTTGTTGTTGTTGTTGTACATCCACACTACATAAGTATAGCAATTTATATGTCATGGGTCCATCCCGAGGAAATTCTGCAATTTGTCGATGATGACTTACTTAGGCGATCCCTTGTAGTCCAAGGATGATGGTCCTCCAAGTGTAGTGTCCTGGCAGTGGGTCCGTAGGTGACTGTGGAGCCCTATTCTTGGTCTGCATCTTCTCCCACAGTGAGGGCATCGGTTTCCAGGTGGAAGGCGGTCCTGGACGGGGTTGGCTTGACGCGCCTCCCTCTTGGCACATTTCTCTCTTTCGCCCTCCATTCATGCCTCTTCAAATTCTACAGCACTGCTGGTCACGGCTGACCTCCAACTGGAGCACTCAAGGTCCAGGGCTTCCCAGTTCTCAGTGTCTATGCCAGAGTTTTTAAGGTTGGCTTTGAGCCCATCTTTAAATCTCTTTTCCTGTCCACCAACATTCCGTTTTCCATTCTTGAGTTCGAAATAAAGCAACTGCTTTGGGAGACAGTGGTCGGGCATCCAGACAATGTGGCCGGTCCAGCGGAGTTGATGGCGGAGGACCATCGATTTAATGCTGATGGTTTTTACTTCTTCCAACACGCTGACATTTGTCCGCTTGTCTTCCCAAGAGATTTGCAGGATTTTGTGGAGGCAGTGCTGATGGAATCATTTCAGGAGTAGCATGTGACATCTGTAGACTGTCCATGTCTCGCAGGCACATAGCAAGCATCTTGATACCATCCGTATCTCTACGGATGTCCCAGTCCTCAAACACTCTCTGCTTCATTTGGAAAAAAGGTACACTCGCAGAGCTCAGGCGGTGTTGTATTTCGGTGTCAATGTTGACTTTTGTGGAGAGGCGGCTGTCCAGGTAGTGGAAATGGTCAACATTTTCTAATGTTACACCCTGGATTTTGGCAAGATCAATTCGGAGGGTTGAGAGTTGTTCGTTGATGCCAGTGGGTGCTTCGGTCAGATGTTTCTCCAGATCATTTCTGATAGCAAAGCCAACTCCGTGCATTCTTTGGTCTTCTTCGGGCAGTCCCTTCCAAAAGAAGGTGTAGCCTCCTTTTTCTTCCTTCAGCTGTCCCTCTCCTGCTCTCCGGGACTCCTGAAGTGCTGCTATGTCGATGTTAAAGCGTCCCAGCTCCCTTGCAATGATGGCAGTTCTGCGTTCGGGCTTTCACTGTCAGTGTTGTCCATCCATGTCCGTATGTTCCATGTACCAAAGTTCATTTTTCTTTTTTGGCCGCAGGGTGGTGACCCCACTGGACGTGGCAGTCCAGTCAGAGATAAGATAGGCAGACTATGTTTAGGGCACCTTTTCTAGCCCCCTCCCCGTGTGGGGTGAGCAGAGTGGGTCCTAAAAGGGGCTGCTCAGTCCTGGATATAGCTGCCGAACTACTCAACTGCCTCGGACCTTGAGGTAGAATGACTGAGTCTGTATCCACCGCCCATGTGCCAGTCTGTGACTAGGGGCTTCCAGATTTCACAGTCCTGCCCCCGTCGCCACTCGCTGATCACCATGGGACTTTGGTTGGTTTGTTTTTATTGTCCTTGGAAGACACCTGTGTGTGATTTTTTTTTAATGTGTGGAGGTCAGTGCACAACTGTTCAACACACAGTCTTCACAGAGTGAGGTTCCACGGGTGGCATAGTTTACCAAGATGACCATGGCTTCTCAATGTGTTGCAGCCTTCTTCCGCCTTCACAGCCGTTATAACATGTACCATGTTATCCTCCGCCTGCTGCGCCATTGAGGTTTTTGGGTCTTCAAACTGTGCTTGGTCTGGAACCTCCCCCGCGGCCACTCCTGGGAGTGCACGACTCCAGTCGTTGTGCCTGCAGGTTCATTGGAACACGCAAGCCCCCTCACCATGACAAAGTGACAGTCCATCGAGGGGATGATGATGATGATAATCATAATAATAATAATTTGAAACACAACAAGATGAGTCCACAGCAGACCCTATGCTGGCTGTTGTACTGGATCATATGTCGGACACTTCCCAAGTGTCTAGGACTGTGTGATGTATCGGCGAATAATGTGTGCAGATCCCAGTAAGGTGGCCTTCTGCAGCTGGCAGATGGTAATTTTGTCAGCGCCGATTGTATTTAAGTGCAGGCCAAGGTCTTTAGGCACTGCACCCAGTGTGCCAATCACCACTGGGACCACCTTGACTGGATTGTTGTTGTTGTTGTTGTTTATTACCTGCTTCTCCTTTCTGCTCAAGGTAGGGCACCTACACAGTGAAATACACCTATAGCATCAAATAGTAAAACATAGTTAAAACACAGCCATAAAAGCATATATTAAAACACGCACATGTTAAAATGCCTGAGACAAAAGTTAAAACACAATAAACATAGAATGCGATTTAAAAGTCATAGTTAAAACTAGATACTTTGGGTGCATATGCACTCTATGGAAACCTGGGATTGCTAGTTTTATAAGGTCTCTAGTCATCTCTGCCAAACAGGGCTGGGGCCTCATCAAACTACAACTCTCCGGATTGCTTTGCTTTGAGGCATGGCAATTCAAATGTTGCTAAACTGAATTAATTCTACAGTGTTGATGCACCCTTTGTATCAAAACCAGTGAAAACAATGTTCTCTCCTGGCTACAGAAGCCCTCCCCGGATCAGCACTTGCACAGCAGCAGCTTCTGGGGTCCAACCGGCGAGGCCCTGGACCGCCTTGTGGAGGGGGTGGATCTTCCTGAACTCCAGGTGGGCGACTGGCTGGTCTTTGAAAACATGGGGGCTTATACCATGCCCCCCTCCGCCTCCCTCAACAGCGGCCCACCGACACGGATCCACTACGCCATGTCCAGGGTGACCTGGTGAGAGCATCCCTTGCAAAGGAAACAGGGTCAGGGATCTGGAAGAGGGAGGGAGAGAGGACTTTGAATAGGGAGGCAAGGTTTGCTTTGCCTCCTCGGAGGCTGAGACAGTGTGACTTAGAAGCTAAGCCAGTTCTTCATGTGCTGCATAGTTAGCCCTCCACATCTTCTAGATTTAGGGGCACAGGACTCTGATGAAAGTAAAAAGTTGCAAGCGAAGAAACATTTGTTTGTTTGTTTATTATCCAAGGGAACATCTCTAGGGATTTCTAGTCTTCTAGCATGATTCTGTGGGCAGCGTCAGTTGGAAGATAGCCATAGAATGTCATTGCAGTACATAGAGATTTCTGAGCAAAAATCTCTAGGGATTTAAAGAGAAATGGTAGTGTAGTCATATAATCCGGGTCAAAGCAGGTAATGTGGATTATCTGCTTCGATAATCTGGATTATATGGCAGTGTAGAAGGGGCCATAAAGTCAGACTGGAGAATCTAAGAATTCCCTAGAGGCATTCCTTTTAGGATTTACCATCAGATCACACTGGAGGACCTAGAGATTCCCTAGAGGGGGGTCTGAGGCCTTTTCTACACTGCCATATAAAATCCAGACTATCTGCTTTGAAATGGATTATATGGCAGGGTGGACTCAAAGTAAATAATCTGTATTATCTGCTTTGATCATTTGGATTATGTGGCAATGTAGAAGGGACCTCAGTCTACAGCCCTCTACATTTAAAATGTTTCATCTAGGAATCACTATGCCCTCCAAGGTGACTCTAAAATTGACTTCCTCCAAGCATGCTGGAGATTATGGGGATTCCTATTCAGGCTGGATCTACACTGCCATAAAATTTAGTTTCTGAATCCATATTATTTAACAACAGAGATTCTTATCTTCCAGTTCAAAGCAGATAATCTGGGATCTGATCCTGTGATGTAGAGCAGTGTAGAAGGGTCTGTAAGGCCTCATGGTGGCGCAGCGGATTAAATCACTGAGCTGCTGAACTTGCTGAGCGAAAGGTTGGCAGTTTGAATCTGGGGAGTGGGGTGAACTCCCACTGTTAAGCCCAGCTTCTGCCAACCTAGCAGTTCGAAAACATGCAAATGTGAGTAGATCAATAGGTACTGTGAAGGAGCCCCCGGTAGTGCAGTGGGTTAAACCCCTGTGTTGGCAGGACTGAAGACCGACAGGTCGCAGGTTTGAATTCGGGGAGAGGCGGATGAGCTCCCTCTACCAGCTTCAGCTCCTCATGTGGGGACATGAGAGAAGCCTCCCACAAGGATGATAAAACATCAAAAATCATCCGGGCGTCCCCTGGGTAACGTCCTTGCAGACGGCCAATTCTCTCACACCAGAAGTGAAGTGACTTGCAGATTCTCAAGTCTCTCCTGACACGACAAAAAAAAAAACTGCTTCTGTGGCAAGATAACAGCACCCCATGCAGTCATGCTGGCCACATGACCTAGGAGGTGTCTACAGCCAACGCCGGCTCTTCAGCTTAGAAATGGAGATGAGCACCACCTCCCAGAGCCAGCCATGACTAGACTTAATGTCAAGGGAAACCTTTACCGTTACCTAGAAGGGCCCGTAGACTCATACAATCCAGTTCAAAGCAGATAATCTGGATTTTATATGGCAGTATAGATGAGGCCTAACTAAGACCTCTGTTTTGATCATCTGGGATGAAAGGGGGAGCAAAATGGGGGTTGTCCCCTACTTTGACTAAATGGCCTACAGTTGCCTTCTTGACTCGCTGGTTGGGGTTGGCATTGATCCTTCTCCTCTTTCTTTCTGGGAATTGCAGGGAAGCGGTGCAGCTGCTGTGGGGGAAGCTCCTCCACGCTGAAGAGGAAGAGGAAGAGGGCCGGGAGAGCACCTGCACCCCACTGTCTTGTGGCTGGGAGATCACCGACTCCTTGTGCGCGGCCCCTGTCTTCACCCCAGCCAGCATCATGTGAGCGGAGGAGGCCCATCGTCCACCGCAGGCACCCTCCTCCCGTACTCTAGCCTCCCCTTCACATCCACCTCCTCTTACACCCTGGAATTGGGTCTCTTGCTGCCCTTTTCCTCTCCTCCATTCCTCTCCCAAAGAAGCAGTGCGGTTTTTAAGTATGCAACATAAAATCCTGTTCCTCCTCTTTCCAGGGTCTTTTGTTTTTCAGTCTGTGAGCAGATATTTCTTTGTCTTTGGTTGGTTATTTCTACATCAGGCACGGGCAAACTTCGGCCCTCCAGGTGTTTTGGACTTCAATTCCCACAATTCCTAACAGCCGGTAGGCTGTTAGGAATTGTGGGAGTTGAAGTCCAAAATACCTGGAGGGCCAAAGTTTGCCCATGCCTGTTCTACGCTGTTGAATGAATGCAGTTTGACACCACTTTGGCTGCTTGTATGCATAAATCAGGGCCAGCAACATAGCTGTAAGGTGGAGAAAAGTGAGGGTATTATATAGTAATTGCCTCAATTCCTCTAATTGTGGTATTTCCACATAGGCATAGTTCATATAAATGGGATATTCTAGAGAAAGTCTCATTTGGTAATCTCCTTGGGTTTATGTCTAACTTTTGTTTTGTGTATTTTAATACGTATTTTATGGAAATATGTGTATTCTGCGGAGTGTTTTTAAATGATTATTTGTTCTGATTATGTGTTTTTGGCAATGTTGTAATCTGCCTTGAGCCGTGAGGAGAGGCGGGTAAGAAATAAAATTGTAATAAAATAATAATCTACACTGTCATATAATCCAGATTGTCAAGGCAGATAATCCACATTATCTGCTTTGGACTTGATTATATGCGTCTATACTGCCATATAATCCAATATGAGTCTAAACTGCCATATAATCCAGTTCAAAGCAGATAATCTGGAGTTTACATGGCCGTGTAGAAGGGGCCTACATTGTAGAACGAATTCAAGTCCCTTCTACACTGCCATATAATCCAGATTATCTGATTTGAACAGGATTATATGAGTCTACACTGTCATGTAATCCAGTTCAAATCGGACAAACTGAATTTTATATTGCAGTGTAGATGTGTTCTGATACCATTTTAACTGCTATGGCTCAGCAGTATGGGATCTTGGGATCTCTATTTTTGTGTGCAAATATCATGCTTTGAGAGAGAAGGCAAAATACCTTGCGAAACTAAAAGCTATAGCAATTTAAGTGGCGCCGAACTGCATTAATTCTACAGTATAGCTGCACATCTCTTGCTGTGGGAATAGTGAATCCAATTTTGGGTCTGTGGACAATTTTAGGATTATTTCTGAATTCCCAAGTAAGGGATGCTCAGCCTCCATCTCTGTCTACTGTCCTTTTTTGTTCATGTTTGTGGTAATGGAATCAAAATTTCTAAATGGATCAGAGGAAGAAATCTGCCATGAATTCTTATTCAACAATACACTTCACACTCAGGCCAACAACTCATTGCCATTAAAACTTTCAGATAGGTCTGTGTTTGTGTGTATAATTTTTACCTCCTCATAATGTGGAAAGATTTAAATGCTTCTCTATAAATCTTTTTTTTAAAAAAAATGGAAGAAGAAAAACCCCTCTATAAGAATCTCTCTATTGGTCTTCTGGGACTTCAGTTCCCAGAATCCCTAACTATTGGCCAAAGTGGCTGAGGCTTCATGGAGCTGAAATCCAAAAAGACCTGGAAGACTAGAGCTCTTTCAAGGTCAAGCCAGTCACTTCAAGGATGCCATCCATCCATCTTTCCCTTGGTCAGCCCCTCTTTATTTTTCCTTCCATTTTCCCCATCATCATTATCTTCTCCAAGCTTTCCTGTCTTCACATTATGTGGCCAAAGTACTTCATCTTTGCTTCTCATATCCTTCCCTCCAGTAAGCAGTCGGGCTTTATTTCCTGGAGGATGGACTGGTTGGATCTTCTAGCAGTCCAAGGCACTTTCAGAATTTTCCTCCAACACCACAGTTCAAAAGCATCTATCTTCCTTCGCTCAGCCATTCTTTATGGTCCAGATCTTGCATCCATAGGTTACTACAAGGAATACTTACTTACTTAGGCGATCCCTCGTAGTCCGAGGATGATGGTCCTCCAAATTCGGTTTCCTGGCGGTGGGTCCGTAGGTGACTGTGGAACCCTATTCTTGATCTGCATCTTCTTCCGCAGTGTGGGCATTGGTTTCCAGGTGGAAGGCAGTCTTGGTTGGAGTTGGCTTGACGCGCTTTTGTCTTGGCACGTTTCTCTCTTTCGCCCTCCATTCATGCCTCTTCAAATTCTGCAGCACTGCTGGTCACAGCTGACCTCCAGCTGGAGCACTCAAGGGCCAGGGCTTCCCAGTTCTCAGTGTCTATGCCAGAGTTTTTAAGGTTGGCTTTGAGCCCATCTTTAAATCTCTTTTCCTGTCCTCCAACATTCCGTTTTCTGTTCTTGAGTTCGGAGTAGAGCAACTGCTTTGGGAAACGGTGGTCGGGCATCCAGACTACTGTGGCCGGTCCAGCGAGTTGATGGCGGAGGACCATCGCTTCAATGCTGGTGGTCTTTGCTTCTTCCAGCATGCTAACATTTGTCCGCTTGTCTTCCTAAGAGATTTGCAGGATTTTATTATTATTATTATTATTAACTTTATTTGTACCCCGCTAGCATCTCCCGCAGGACTCGATGCGGCTTACACAGGCCGAAGCCTCAAACACAATACAATAAAACATAACACAATAATAAGCAAAACAAATCAGACAATTAAGCAAAATAACAACAATAACTACATCAAGACACTGATTAAAACTGGTTCGGCCGGCGCAATGGGGTACAGGGGTTAAAGTGCTGAAATGGCAGGAGGAACATAGGATTAAAGGTGCGGTGTGCAGTAACATCGGTTGTGCTAAAGTGCTTCTAGGACTTGGGATGGGGGATTCCTAATCTGAGAAGGCACATCGGAACAGCCAGGTTTTTAGGTTCCTTCTGAAAACTGCTAAAGTAGGGGCCTGTCGGAGATCTTTTGGAAGGGCATTCCAAAGTCGGGGGGCCGCCACAGAGAAGGCCCTGTCCCGTGTCCCCACCAAGCGCGCTTGCGACGTGGGTGGGATCACGAGCAGGGCCTCCCCAGATGATCGGAGTGAGCGTGTGGGTTCGTAGATGGAGATGCGGTCACGCAGGTAGGGTGGTCCCAAACCGTTCAGGGCTTTGTAGGTGAGCACCTGCACCTTGAATTGGGCTCGGAAAATAAATGGCAGCCAGTGGAGCTCCTTAAACAGAGGGTAGACCTCTCTTGATAATGAGCCCCGGTTAGCATCCTGGCTGCCGCCCGCTGGACCAATTGAAGTTTCCGAGCCGTCTTCAAGGGCAGCCCCACGTAGAGCGCATTGCAGTAATCCATTCTAGAGGTGACCAAGGCATGGACCACCCCGGCCAGATCAGCCTTCGCGAGGTACGGTCGCAGCTGGCGCACAAGTCTCAATTGTGCAAAGGCCCTCCCGGATACTGCCGACACCTGAGCCTCAAGTGTAAGCGAAGAATCCAAGAGGACACCCAAACTGCGGACCTGTGGCTTCAGGGGGAGTGTAACCCCGTCCAACACAGGTTGCCACCCTATACCCCGATCCGGTTTACGATCGACCAGGAGGACCTCTGTCTTGTCGGGATTGATCTTCAGCTTGTTCTTCCTCATCCAGATTGACACAGCGGCCAGGCACTCGTCCAGCACCCGAGAAGCCTCCTTGGAATTAGGTGGAAAAGAGTAGTAGAGTTGTGTGTCATCCGCATAAAGATGGCACCCAACTCCAAAATTCCGGATGACCTCTCCTAGCGGTTTCATGTAGATGTTAGAAAGCATGGGGGACAGAATGGAACATTGCGGGACCCCACAGGTCAAAGGCCAGGGTTCCAAGCAGGTGTCTCCCAGCTTCACCATCTGGGAACGACCCTCCAAGAAGGACCGGAGCCACGACAGGACCGCGCCCCCAAGGCCCATCCCAGAGAGACGACCCAGAAGGATACCATGATCGATGGTATCGAAAGCCGCTGAGATGTCCAGGAGAACCAGCAGGTCACACTCCCCCTGTCCAGCTCTCTGCGGAGGTCATCCACCAAGGCGACCAAGGCTGTCTCAGTGCCATGACCAGGCCTGAAACCAGACTGTGACTGATCTAGGTAGTTGATACCGTCTAAAAAGCTCTGGAGCTGGGAGGCGACCACCCGCTCCAGCACCTTACCCAGAAAAGGGAGGTTGGAGATTGGCCTGTAATTGCTCAGCACCGTGGAGTCAAGGGAAGCTTTTTTGAGGAGTGGACGGACCACAGCCTGTTTCAGATTAGATGGAAAAATCCCTTGCTCCAACGATGCATTGATAATCAACACAAACCAATCAACCAACCCCTCCCTGGCTGATTTAATGAGCCAAGATGGGCATGGGTCTAGAGGTGAGGTGGTCGCCCTCACAGCCCCAAGGATCTCCTCCACGGTTTCAGGAAGAACAAGCCTAAAAGAATCCCACAAAGTTGGACAAGCAGGTGCCTCAGTCACCTCTTCTGGCACTGCGATGGAATTGGAGTCGAGCTCGAGGCGTATCTGAGCGACTTTACCTGCAAAATGGTGTGCGAAATCGCGACACCGAGCTGCTGGGTCATCAGTGACCTCCTCCACCACAGGTGGGTGGAGGAGTTCCCCCACAACCCGAAACAGCTCCGATGATCTATTTGCTGCAGACGCTATACGGGTGGTCGTGAATGATTTCCTGGCCACCCGTATAGCCACGGAGTATGCCTTAAGAGAGGCTTTAGCCCGTGCTCGATCAGAGACGTCCCGAGATTTCCTCCATTTGCGCTCTAGCCCCCTTCTCGCATGCTTCATCACAGTCAGCTCCCCGGTGAACCAGGGAGATGGCCTGTCACGACGCAACGAGATGGGGCGTTCGGGTGCGATCATATCTAACGCCCTGGACATCTCCCCATTATAGAGAGTCACCAAGGCGTCGATAGAATCGCCAGGCTCCAAGGCAGGAAGAACCCCAAGATTCCTCAGGAATCCATCCGGATCCATCAGTCTCCTAGGGCGGACCATTTTAATCTGTCCTCCACCCCTGCGGAGGTTAAGGGTCGCAGCAAGTCTAAAACTGATCAGATAATGATCAGACCATGACACAGGAAGGATGTTTTGATCTTCCACTCTAATCATTT